ACAGTATTTGTCCTGTGAATCCTTGTATCATTCAGGATAAGCTACATTATCCTGTAGTAACGACTTCTGCAAAATCTTAGTGGCTTATGCTGATAAAGATTTATTTTTCACTCACTCTGTTTATATCCACTGTATATAGGCTAGGATCTCTATTATTGCACTGACTCAGACATCTGTGCCAAAGAAGATTCCATCTCATTCACAGGAATTGCTACAGCAGCGGGAAGAGAACTCAACGCACTGAGCATTGTTGGCTCTTAAATCTTCATTTAAAAAAAAGACATTATTTCAATTCAAATTTTCTTGTTTTATTGCCCAGAGCAAGCTACATGACCATATCTCTTATATCCTTTACACAGTTTTGTACTGGGATTTTTATTTCTTCTATTATTATTGTATTATAAATAGTTTTCCACCCTGGCTGGTGTGGCTCAGTGGATTGAGCATGGGCCTGCAAACCAAATGGTTACCGGTTCAGTTCCCAGTCAGGGCACATGCCTGGGTTTCGGGCCAAGTCCCCAGTGGAGGGTGTGGGGGAGGTAACTACACACTGATATTTCTCTCGCTCTCTTTCTCCTTCCCTTCTCCTCTGTCTGAAAATAAATAAATAAAATATTTTTTAAAATATAGTTTTCCCAGTTATTCTTTTGTGGTATCTTTTGGCTAGCAGAAATTTTAAATTTTTACACAATAAAATATATTACTTTTTTTAATCCATTATCTCTTATTTTATAGCCTTCTTCACCACATATCTCTGTATTTCCTTCTTCAATTATGGTTCTTTTTTATTTTCCATATTTAATTCATCAATGCATCCACAGCTTAGACTACATAATAATGGGATTCTTCAAATGCTTTGGCTGAATTATGCCTTGCTGTTCATTGTGCTCAGCATGTACCAAGGATTGTTATTTTTTTGAAAGGTTGTGATCTCCTCATCCTTCTGGTAAAGATATTCTCAAAACTTTTATAAACTTTATTTGTGAGGTCTCCAGAGAGAGAGAGAGACATTTGATTCTAGTGCCAAGAAGAGCTGGAAATCTTTGCAGAAGTTATTTTTTTAATCTCACAAACATTGTAAAGAGTGTGAAGGAGGATGTTTAAGTGTTCTATTAAAGGCTAAAAAATTGTCCACTGTGTGCATGTGTATATATTCACATACCACAACTTCTATATCCATTCATTCACTGAGAGTCGTTTAGGTTGTTTCCATATCTTGGCTACTGTGAATAATGCAGGTACCTCTTTGAGATAATGATTTCACTTCTTTTGAGTATATACCCAGAAGAGAGATTGCTGGATTATATGTACTTTTTTCTATTTCTGTGAAAAATGCCATTTGAATTTTGAAGAATTTCATTGAATCTGTATATTGCTTTGTTTAATATGGACATTTTAAAAATAATAATTTTTGCAATACATAAACCTGAAATATCTTTCTATTTATTTGTGTCATCTTCAATTTCTTTATTCAGTGTTTTACAGTTTTTAGCCTACAGATCTTTCACCTATGTGGTTAAATTTATTCCTAAGTATTTTATTCTTCTGATGCTATCATGTGGTCATTTTCTTGATTTTTCCCTTAAATATTGTTGGTCATGTAAAAAAAGACAACTGATTTTTTAAAAAGATTTTATTTATTTTAGAGAGAAGGGAAAGGAGGGAGAAAGAGGGTGAGAGATATATCGATGTGAGAAAAAAACATTAATCAGTTGTGTCTGTGCCCTGACTAGGGACAGAACCAGCAACCCAGGCACATGCCCTGACCAGGAATCAAACTGGCAACCTTTTACTTTATGGGGCAATGCCCAGCCAACTGAGCCACACCAGTCAGGGCTAACACAACCAATTTTTTATGCTGATTTTTTGTCTTTCAACTTTCCCAAATTCATTCAGTTCTAACAGTTTTTTCAATGGTGTCTTCAGGGTTTTCTAGATATAAAATTATGTCACTTGTAGAAATAATTTCACTTCTTTCTTTCTAATTTTGATGACTTTTATTTCTTTTTCTTATCTGATTGCTCTTGCGAATACTTCCAGTACTATGTTGATAGAAGTGAAAATAGTGGATATCCTTGCATTGTACTTGATTTTAGAGGAAAAGTTTTCAGTGTTTCTTCATTGACTATGATGTTAGCTATGGGTTTTTCACAAACGAACTTTATTTTGTTGAGGACATTTCCTTCTATACCTATTTTACTAAGAGTTTTTATTATGAATGAATGTTGAACTTTGTCAAATGCTTTTTCTGCATCTGTTGAGAAAAATCATCTGGATTTTATTTTTGAATCTGTTGATGTAGTGTATCACATTGATTGATTTTCATATGTTAAATCAACCTTGTATCCCAGAGGTAAATCACACTTGGTCATGGTGAATAATCTTTTTACTGAGTTTTTTATTCTGATTTACTTTGAGAGCAAATTGACTTACAATTTTCCTATGTTGTCTTTTCTGGATTTGGTATCAAGGTGATGCTGGCCTCATAAAATGAGTTCAGAAAAGTTACTCTGCTTCTGTTTTTTTGTAAAAGTTTTTAAAGGATTTAATTAAACAATTAATTCAGCATTAATTGTTTGGTAGAATTCAGCCAAAACACCATCTGGTTCTGGGCTTTTCTTTGCTGGGAGATTTTTTATTACCACTTCAACTTCCTTACCTCTTACTTGTCTGTTCAGGCTATCTTTTTCTTTGCGGTTTTATCTTCGTAGATTGTAAGTTTCTAGCAACTTATCCATTTTTTCCTAGGTTATTTCATTTGTTCGCATATAATTGTTCATAGAAGTCTTATGATCCTTTGTATTTCTGTCGTATCAGTTGTAACATCTCTTTTTATTTCCGATTTTGAGTCCTCCCTCTTTTTTTATGGTGAATCTAGCTAAGGTTTGTCTATTTTATTTATTTTTTAATAAACCAACTTTAGTTTCATTGATCTTTTCTATTGTATTTTTAATATCTACTTCATTTATTTTTGCTCTAATCAGAGCAGTATGTTCTAATTTTTGTTTCAGAACTCATTTAGTGGTTGATTTTATTAATGTTTTCCATTCTACAGGAAAGACTTAACATGGGTACTGTTTTCTTCAACAACACCTTTATTTAATCCAAGCTTGAAAGCCTGTTTTACAACATATTTGTAGTGTTTGGTGATACAGAACCTTAGTTCATAAATACACCATTTCATTACTTCAGATGCTTGGGCTTATCTTTTCATACAAAAACCATAGAAATGCTTAAAAATTAATCATTCATGTCTTAGGTCTATAACTTGTCTGAGCAATGATTTAGTTCTTGAAGACACAGATGTAATTCATAGCAAAATGTGGTAGAAAAAAAGTAACCTACAAAAAATGCCAGGACAAATGCCCAAATCAAGTGATATGAAAGTAAGGTTTTTATTGTGGGTACAGTCGACATGAAGTAAAGGTTCTTTTATTATTAATATTATGTTTGTTTATAGAAACTAAAAATTAAGTAATATTACCCTAAATATGTATTTAAGAATGACTCAAAATTGAGGAAGTTTTGTTTTTAATTATTCCTCCTAATGATAATGGAGGTTTCAATTTTTATTAGTTTCAATTTTTATTAGTTCCAATTTTCATCTTTTCAGTGTTTCTTTATACAAATGAAGGCAAATGCAGTATTCTTATTTTCTCCCTTTTATACTTAAGTACCATACTGTATACAATGAATTAAATAATATACTCTATACACTTTTCTGCACCTTACTTTTATTACTTAATGAGAAGACCTTTAGATCTCTTTACATCAGTGTGGGGATTTTCCTCATTGCCTTTTACAACTGCGTGGTATTCCTTCAAATAGGAATGCTTTAGTTTATTCAACCACAACTTAACTGCTAAATATATGAATTGTTTATAATCTCTAAATTTTCAAATTATGCCACAAATCAATAAACTCATACATATGTTTTTTCATACTTAGGTAGGAAGTTGTGTAGGATGTATTCTCAGGAGAGAAATTGCTGGATCAAAGGGAAAATATGTATTTTTGGTGGATACTGTTGACTCCTCTTCATGTGGGGTTATATGCTTTTGAGCAAGTTTTAAAGAAAAGAAATTATATTATTTACTACCTTTCTTGCCAATTCTAGCTCCAACTAAATCTAACCTTGGTCCCACTCAAAATTTTAAAATGCAGATTCCTTGCTAACCAATTTTTAATCTCTGCCAGAGACAGATCCCCACTTGTCTCTAATATGTCAAGCTAATATTTAATATATTTAAATGTCTAATGTCAAAAATCAATCCAAGTGACTTTCTTCAACTCCTCAGAGGTTCCTTATCAGCATCACAACCTCTAGATCTAATTAGTCTACCTGGTAACTAATGAAAATAGTCAGTGCCAGAATCTAGCATAAACCTCTTAGATCATCTGTTTTGTCTGCTCCATATTGAGGTATCTTAATAACTAGCTTTTGGGCTGATTGACAGTTTATTAAATCATAGTTTTTCTTTCCTTTAAGACATGACAATAGGGAGGGCTGGAGGGTATAGGGGTAAAAGGCAGAAAACTGTACTTGAACAACAATTAAAATAAAAAAAATAAAAAAGACATGACAAGATTCCCTCAGTACCCTCCTGTGTGTTCATGCTGGTTGCAAGGAAAAATTACCAGCTATGGGTGTGTTGTCGGTATGTGGAGAAGGTAGACCTGAACATACAGAGGGATACACCTTCTATTGCATTTTACTAGAGGGTCATGGAAAGAGCTCTGGACTTAGAGGCAAAATTCCTAGGCCTGTGTCCTCTCCATGTACTCTTAATAAGTAGTAGCTTAGAGCAAGTCATGAGAAAGTGAGATGGAATATTCATTTCCTCTGACAGGGCAAGCTATAACAATATCCTAAACTTCTGTCATCCATCTTTCCTTCTCTCCGTGTTTAGAATGAGTTGCCAAGAGAAGGAAGAGGCATGTCTTTTTGTCAAAAAAAAAAAACAACACATAATTTTAAACACTATTCTACTCTCTTACAGATATAGACTTCAATATGATGAAAATTTTAAAGAGCCCAACAGCACATACAATGTCCATATCCAGAGAAGAATCAAGATTACCAAAACTAACAACAAAGGTTTGGAGCATAGTAATTATTTTTTAAGTTTTTACTTCTTTAATTTATAACATACTTAATTGAACAGCTTGATATAGGCAATGTTGGCTATTTCCTACTTGATGTATATCTTAGAAAAATTTAATGATCAAAGTGATTTATTGGGAAATTAATCTTAATATTAAAAAGTCTCTTTTTTCTAAAAAAAAATTCTTATCTCTAATGAGGAAAAAAATGCATAGCGTTTGTCTTTTCTCACACTTCTGGCACTGCTTGTCCTTGGGTGGCATACAAACAGGACTCTGATCTCGATAAACATCAAAGTTGCCAGGAAATCTTCAAAGGAGTTTGCAGTCATGGTTGACCTGTCCCCACCTCTTAAGCCATGGTCCTGGAGTAACTGACTACATGTAGATAACGTTATGTTACTCTTAAGTCTTTAACGCTATGTTTCTCCACTTTCCTGAAGGTGCCTTGGGTTGCTTTAGCCAAGATTCAATGAGGTTATTAGCTTGAAATTCTGAGTTTGATCTCTTAACTTGTGAGACAATTAGATTTTAAATCTATTGAAGTCTTTATTGCTAAAATTTTGTCTGAATTATCTAGTCAAGCCTGGCCATTATTTTAAATTTTACATTATGTCTATATAAAAACCACTTTCCGAAAGTGAGTACTCACACATTTCCTGGTCTCTAATAATCCAGGTAGTTAGACTCTCTTCCAACTTTCACAGTGCTGCCCAGGATGATTTGTAAGTACCGGGGACTGGAATCGGTGACCTCTAGGCATCAATTTGGGATCCATGGCAATATCACACCTTTTTTGGTGGGGGGTGAGGGTGGTCATTGCTAGATTTAGAAAACAAAGAAATGTAATAGAAATTGTATATCTCATCTTCAGCAAGCACTAAAAATGGTATTTTATACCTTACTTACAAGTTGGAGAAATATGAACAGATGGATTTGTAACTGACTGTACAACCTTTTCCAGATGACACTATTAAAGATTGAAAGCAATGCAGATACATCCTTGGTAGTACACCACAGTGTTGCATGATTGGCCCTGTTCCATGCAGACTACATTATCAACAGTTTAGATAAAAATGTGGTTGCCATTTTTATTAGAAATGTAGAAGTCATAAGCTTGGAAGAATTATTAATACATCAGATGACCAAAAGTTCATGACAGGCTAGAGTAAAAGGCCTGATCTTAGAAAATAGACTCTTATTGTAGGAAAAGTATAGAGGTCCAAAATTATAACTGCACAGAAGCAGTATAATAAAGCCTTGGTTAGGAGCATCTGAAAAGATTTGGAGATTATATTTAACAGTAACGTGTGTGTGTCAACATTAGAATGTTGTTGACTCTAAAATCTGCTATATTCTTAGCTATTTAAATAGACATGTGGGCTCTACTCTTTGCTGATTTGACAATCTCTGTGTGTTCATTTTGGAGAACTGCATTGTAAAAGGGTGTAGACAATCAGAAGTGTTCTGAACTGAATACGACCAGAATGATGAAGGACTCTGAAACCATATTGTTTGAGCAATGGTCAAAATACTTAGAGACATTTTGACTGGAAAAGAAAAAACCATGGAGACCTTATCAACTGTTTTCAAATATGTATAAGCTACTGTATCAAAGCAGGATTAGACTTTTCCTGTGGGGCTCAACGAGTTTTTTACCAAGACATTTGTTATGTTTACTTAATAAGTGAAAGCTATAGGGGGACATTTTAGACCAACATAAAGAAGTTTTTAAGCTCCAGGGTTGTCCAAATGCCAGATGGGTGCCTGTGGGTTTCCAGCACCCATAACGGCACAGAGTTTGGTTTTGCAGTCATTATCAGCAATTAGTCTTTAAAAAATTAACAGAAAAAGAATTTGGTGCCAAAACTATCCTGGGACTTTCTGGTTCACCCCTTGTGATCCTTTCAAAGTTTGTAGGATTCTTGGTTCTTCCAAATTAGTACCATGTTGTATTTTGACCACAAAAGACCTGTTTGTAGAATCAAAGTTCTCTGACAATTTTTGGTCCTACTTTTGTGGGGCTGATGGAAGCAGGGGGACTTCTGGTTAGTTGCTTTGGCTATTTTGAATATTTCTAGCAAGAGTTCTTTGGGCAACATGGGACCTTCTCCTCTAAAGTATCTAAGAAAATAGCTAAGGCTCCACAAAACACTGGATTTACTTTTAATACCTAGTTCTACTCTTGCCTGCTTAAACTATCCTTAAAATATCAGAGATCTTCATAAAGGAAGAAGGAGCTATGAAGTGTGGTTTTTTCTAAGTTGAAAACTGATAACTGCAGGGAAAAATAATAGGACTATCTATTTGTAGTCTTTCAGTAAGATAGATTTTATCTTATAATACACAAGACAAAAGCCTGGAAAGGGATCATAAAATGATCTTTTGAGACAGACAAAATTTCCTTTTGGTCTAAATGGAGCTTGACCTGGTTTTGCATATAATTTAAAGATAAAGCTAGGATAGAACCTGAGGTAAATTATCATGAAAGATTAAGATGAAGGAAATATCAGATATATTTACATCATGGAAAACACATCTGATATTGACATTTAGTTTTCACCATCAAAGAACTGTTTTTGATTACCATAGTACCACTTTTTAAAATAATTCTGTAACAGCTATGAATGAATGCAGTTTCAAAGTGACCCTAAGTAAAGGAAACACAAGAGAATTTTATGCCTCAGTAAAAGGAAATAAGAATAAAATCTTATTTCCCCACAGAAAATGGAATCTATAATAAATCTCTCATTTGGTATTACAAAAGTTGGGAGAAGATTTCACATATGAGTAGTTGCCATACTGACCATGTTTTCCACAGGAAGTCAATAATTGGTTCTTGGAGCAATTATACTTATGATTGTTGTTTCCCTTACATGGAATTCGGGTGGTCAACATTTTTTTTTTCTATCAGCCCTTTGGTTGTGTTATCCAACTGCCTCTGACCTCCTTTGTTCAAATGAGAAGTCAGCTGCTAATCCTAGCAAGGTTTTCATATGTGTGGTTTTTCTCTTGCTATATTTGAGATGTTTCTTTTTGTCTGTTTCAACACTCTGACTATGATATGTCTAGGTATGAATTTATCCTACTTGAAAGTAAGCTTCTTGGATATGTTTTTCATAATATTTGGGAAGTTTTAGTCATTATTTCTTCATATATTTTACCAGCACTTTTTTCTAGACCTCTGTATTTTCTTCATTCTTTTTTATTTCTGTTCTTCAGACAGAATAATCTCTATTGACCTATCTTCAAGCTTGCTGATAAAGCAAAGGTTAAGAGAGCTTTGCTACACATACTCATAGATTCATACATTAGTTTCTTTAATTAAGCAGATGCTTTGCAGAATTTACTTTTATTTATTTTAATATACTAGATGATAATTTTATTCATAGTTATAATGTCATTACAATTTTTACAGGTCTTTAAAAATACACAAAATTAATAACTGACTTCATTTTCTTCTTCCCCTCACAGTCCCATTATAGTAGCATTGGTCCAGAGTTTAACCGTGTGCTCTTCAATTTTGGAGGTCAGAGTCCACTGATTTTATATTATCTTAAGATGCATCAGCTATCCGGAATTCCTCAAACCTCTAAACAAACCAAGGTTAAATTCACTGAAATATCACGAGAACCATATCCTTTTTTTAAGCTTTGCTTTAGTTCAAAACTCTTTGCTAAATGTCTCAATTAAGAAAAAATTAATGCATTTGTAACCAATGGTTTTATTTAGCATTTAATTACATTCAAAAACTTTTGTAGCATATTTGGTTAAATTATTTACTCTTTTAGATCTAAGGCTGTGATCTTGCATGTATGAAAAATAAACCAAACGTAAAACCTAGGAACCTTAAAAACTGGTATATTTAGCTCTGTAGTAAAGGACTGTCTTTGCAACTTTCTGTTCAGTGTTCAGTTTCAAACATTTGTCAGAACCGTGAGTAATGGGCTTCTAGGCTTCTCCAGAGAAGAGTTTCAAACATGTTTCAACTGTGCAATCCTTTGTTCCAATGAAAATTTATCAAAAAACTTAATGTGTACAATACAAAATAAATGAAATTGGAGCTCTTTGGTTGCAGCAGGTGTGGGGGGCCCAGAGGGCTGTTTACACTCCTAGGTTCCCCCCATATAACCCATGCTGGCCCAGGCCTCACTGGGGACTCACATGAACCCCAGAGGGATCTAGCACTGTCCTCTCCAAAGTGGAGCATGCACAGCTCTGGGTAGAGAAAAAAAAAACATCAGGACTCTTATTTACATGTATTTCTATCTTAAAAAACAAAAAGAGGAGTTGCACTTTCCTAATATTTAGTGAACAAACACCCTTACCCAGCCGATATTTCAGTCTGCACTCGACTACATTGAGGGATGATGATGGCATCTTTGCTCTCGTGTTGTTTTATGAGAACCACAACATGGTGCTGATTTCTTTTTTTTTAATATATTTTATTGATTATGCTGTTACAGTTGTCCCATTTTTTTCTCCCCTTTATTTTCCTCTGTCCTGTACCCCTCTCCCACCATCATTCTCCTGCCCAATAAGTTTATGTCCATGGGTTGTACATATAAGTTCTTTGGCTTCTCCATTTCCTATACTATTCTTAACCTCCCCCTGTCTATTTTGCACCTACCAGTTATGCTTCTTATTCCCTGTACCTTTTCCCCCATTCTCCCCCCTCCCCCACCCCGCTAATAACCCTCCATGTGATCTCCATTTCTGAGAATCTGTTCCTGTTCTAGTTGTTTGCTTAGTTCATTTTTGGTTTTGGTTTTGCATTTTTAGGTTAAGCTGTTGATAGTTGTGAATTTGTTATCATTTTACTGTTTGTATTTTTATTTTCTTCTCTTTCTTTTTCTTTTTCTTTAAAGATTTTATTTATTTATTTTTAGAGAGGGAAGGGAGGGAGGGAGGGAGAGAGAGAGAGAGAGACATCAATGTGTGGTTGCTGGGGGTTATGGCCTGCAACCCAGGAATGTACCCTGGCTGGGAATCGAACCTGGGACACTTTGGTTCCCAGCCCGAGCTCAATCCACTGAGCTATGCCAGCCAGGGCTATTTTCTTCTCTTTCTAAGATAAGTTGCTTTAACATTTCATATAAGGGCTTGTTGATGATGAACTCTTTTAACTTGACCTTATCTGGAAAACACTTTATCTGTCCTTCCATTCTAAATAATAGCTTTGCTAGATAGAGTAATCTTGGATGTGGGTCTTGCATTTCATGACTTGGAATACTTCTTTTCAGCCCCTTCTTGCCTGCAAGATTTCTTTTGAGAAATCAGTTGATAGTCTTATGGGAACTCCTTTGTAAGTAATTGTCTCCTTTTCTCTTGCTGCTTTTAAGATTCTCTCCTTATCTTTAATCTTGGGTAATGTAATTATGATGTGCCTTAGTGTGTGCTTACTAGAGTCCCACTTCTTTGGGACTCTCTGAGCTTCCTAGATTTCCTGGATGTCTATTTCCTTTGCCAGATTGGGGAAGTTCTTCTTCATTATGTTTTCAAATAAGTTTTCCATTTTTTGGTCTTTCTCTTCTCCTTCTGGCACCCTGATGATTCAGAGTTGGAATATTTAAAGTTGTCCTGGAGGTTCCTAAGCCTCTCCTCATTTTTTTGAATTCTTGTTTCTTCATTCTGCTCTGGTTTAATGTTTATTTATTTCTTCTGCTCCAAACCATTTATTTGATTCCTGGTTTCCTTCCCATCACTGTTGGTTCCCTGTACATTTTCCTTAATTCACTTTTCATAGTCTTCACTTTTTCCTATATTTTGTGACTATACTCAACCATTTCTGTAAGCATCCTGATTACCAGTGTTTTGAACTCTGCATCTGTTAGGTTGGCTATCTCTTCATTGCTTAGCTGTATTTTTCTGGAACTTTGATCTGTTCTTTCATTTGGGCCAATATTTTTTGTCTCAATGCACCTGTTACATAGTAAGGGATGGAGCCTCTGGTATTCACCAGGGCTGGGCAACCCACATTGCTGTGTTGTGGCACTGTATGTGAGGGATGGGTTTGATAGGGAACAGTGCCACTTGCTCTGCTCTCAGCTGGCTTTCAGCCACTTCCCCTGCTACCCACAAGCAAATTGGATCCTTCTGGTTCTGATTACTGGGTGCATGGGTTTGTGTACATTTTAGGACCCTGTGGGTCTCTCCAAGGAACTCTCTTATGAGACTGGGAGTTTCTCCTGCTACCTCAACCCTCACAGATTTCAGTCAGAGGTTTTGAGGCTTTATTTCCCTAAACTACAATCCTGGTTTGCACAGTCTGTCTCACTCCCCAGTTGTTCCTCCCAGTTTATCCACATGCAAATGTGGGACCACCCAGTCTTCCAGCCACCACCCCGCTGGTCTGCCAGCCGTCACCTTGCTATGAGTCCTCTCTGCCCAGCTGCCTGTCTCTGCTCCCCACTACCAGTCTGGATGAATGTTTCTTCTTTAACTCCTTGATTGTCAGACTTCCATACAATTCAATTTTCTGGCAGTTCTGATTGTTTTTTCTTTTAAAATTTGTTATTGTCCTTCTTTTGGATGTGCGAGGAGGCAAAGTGTATCTACCTATGCCTCCATCTTGGCCAGAAGTCCCATAGTGCTGTTTTCTTTGGGGGATTAAGCAGATTTTTAGATTATATCATCTAGCTTTAACTAAATTACCAGCTCACTAGTGGAGCAATAGCTTTAAAAGATTTCTGAAAATAACTATGGATTGATGATCATATTTATGATGCAAGAATAAATTTTTTAAAAATGGCAAACAATATTTCCCCTACTCCTTGAAGGAGCTTATTTTCAGCCACACTAAGAGATAAAATCAGTGGTGACCCATTCAGTTCTGCCAAGATGTAGGCCACAAATACAAAAATAAAAATATTCAAAAAGACTATCTGCAGTACGGATATACATCATTTTACAAACAATGAACCTAGCACTAAGTGTATGTCATACTTCTCAATATTGTCAAATGATAGTTTGACAATATTTGCCAGTTTAATTTGCAAGGCATTTGTAAACCAACTGTCTAGACATCCTTACAAATCTCTACAATTTGAGGACTAAAGGTTTAGTGTGCCATTAACAAATGTTAAATTTTATTTAAAAAAATATTTCATCTCACTGGTTTTTATTTGTATACTGCATAAGTTTATAATGCACAGACTATATTAGTACAGATTGATGTGTCTATAATTTATAATTTTAACATCACACCTATGTGGGAATGAGCTCCATAGCTTGCACTCATGGGGTCTGTGATCAAGACAGTGTGGAGGGCGCGGCTCCTGCAGATTCCCAGCACTCTCCCCGGGGCCCACTTCCCCACATTTCAGTCAGGACAGTCTCTGGAGCCTCACTGACCACAGGCACATGGAATTAACTTGAATGGCTCGGGAACACAGAAGAAAAGCAAACAATAGGGCTAAATCACTCTGTTTTAACACTTGTAACTTAAATAATGATGCAAGGATTGTCATCAACCTTGAATTATGTCTAAAACAAAATTTTTTAATTCTCTAGAAGTAAAATTTGAAAGATATCTAAAACTTTTCATAATAGATTAATTTTATTTTTAGCTAATTTTTATTGTAATTATAAAAATGTTAATCTTTTATTTCGTTTACATTTCTAATGGGCATGGATTTGTCCAATGGCTAGGTGAGTGTTCGTACCACCAGTATACTGAGAATGTGGGAAGAGTGTGAGTGTGTTTGGGGGTGGGGAAAGGAGATCTACAGCATGAAACCCATTAGGATTACATATCACTCCACAAAATTTTGAAAGAAATCACCCATTGGAAAGTAATGGGGCTTTCCATGATGTTTACTGAGCTTGTAAAATATAGTACCTGCTGGCAAGAAAAAATGTTCCTAGATCTAATGGTGAACAAAATCATAATTATGCTTCACATTCATCAGCACTTGGCAATTTTTTCAAGCACATACTGAATTCTCCCGTTGTGTTATCATGGGAATGGCAAGAGTCCTGTGACCGTGGGCAGAGCAGCTGCTTCACAGATGAGGGATCCAAAGCACAAAGAGGGTAAGTGGCTCGCTGCACAAGTTTCCTCTATGTCCCAGACACCTGAAAAAAGTGTCTGGCATACAATAGTTGTTAAATTAATACCTGATGTATGGCTATAGCGTGGTGTTACATAAAGATAAGACCACATTTTATTTTTCAAAAAGAATCGACATTACCTTTAAAAAGTAAAAAAAAGTAGAGGAAACAGAAATTTGACGGTCATTGGTACTAAGTTAATCTATAAGGTCATCATTATTACAATGGTGTTTTTAAAAACTTAATGAATAGTTACTGTGTACCAACCACTCTTCTAAGTGCTTTATACTTATAACTTATTTACTTCTGTGAACTTCTGAGGTAGATGTTATCATTGTCATCAACTTTAAAAAGAAGGAAACTGAGGCACAGGAAATTTAGGTAACTCACCTGAGGACAGTGGCAACACTTGTGGTCCCTCCTTGGCAGCCTGGTTTCAGAGCAAAAGCTGGTGCCTCTGGTGCTGACTGTTTACCCAGGCGGATGGGTGGCTCCAGAGGAAGATAAAGGCCTATTCCTGCCTCTTAAGGAGGATTTTAATTATGGTTTGGAGTAAGGGTAGTAGCAGTCACACAGTGAATTCTA